TTCTCCTCACCCAACACAGATCTCCAAACCAACTTTCTAAACGAGCCTTCTCTTTTGCCAGCCCTAAACTGTGGAACTGTCTTCCAAAGGCAATCAGGAACACGTCATCGAACGAAACCTTTAAATCTCTGCTAAAGACCCATCTATTCACTGCTGCCTTCCTGTAAGGTTATATGAACTGTTTCCTTCACCAATATTGTCACAGCGCCACTGAGCATCTCTATGGTGGATATTAGGCGCTTTATAAATGCATTATGCTTTACAGATTCAAGATACTATGCAGCAGAGAGGGCAGTCTGGTTACCTGGGTCTGTTGCGCCTGCGCTAACGCTCCGACACTGACCCAGGCAACCACTGCCGAATGGCGGCCTTCACTGCAGGGAGACGCGCCATACATTTACTATAGGAAAATCCGAGAACGGGTGGTTAGAATTTTTTCATAGCATTTTCATCGATACTATGGGAAAATATACGTCACAAGAACAACGGCCATCGTTACTTTCAGTGTACGAACACGTTATTTAAGCAGTTTCGTGACACGAAAATCGTCGTTACATTGGCTATATGTAAACAATGACACACACCCTATTTTCATCACCGACATGTGCTTTGATATTTCGTGTCAGCTCGCTATTGCCACGAAATCGTACACATAAAACATGGATCTGAACCACCACATTGATTGAATACAGTTAGCATAATTCTTTTAGCAAATTTGATGACGAAAATGTCGCCGATTATGTCCCGTGTCTTCCATCGTTTCAGGGTAGGTTTAGCCGATATATTTTTCGATCGCCTTGGGACAAAGTAAAGCGTTTTGGATGGATGATGTTAATGACAGGGTTTGTCATTCTGATATTCAGCCTCTACATAACAACATGAAACAGTTAACAAATATACCAATATCATTCAGAAATGTTTATGATTATAATAAACATGGTGAATCAAATGATCTATATACAAAAATACCCACACACATGCAGCTCAAAACAATGAATTTGATATTACTGAACTTAATATATAAAAATACATGGTATGATCAGTATGTTAATACATTGGTATAGCATATATGGGAAGAACTTTTTAGTCAGATGAACATTCCACTATTTGTGAACTGTTGAATTAAGGGTTATTTTTACCAATGAAACCTGGTGTTATAAGAATAGATCTGATACAAATTATCTGATATCAACAATGTTTCAGTCAGATATTAGTTAACTACTTTGGTTAAATGCTGCTATGGACTCTTTGCTTTACTTTATTATACTTTACAGCAGTGCATGCATACATAATTCAACACACTATCCGTGGTTTTGCTTTTGAATTTAGGGTAATTTGCTCTGTACTTGTTGACCAGTCTACTATTGTTTATTATTTTTTAAATCAAAAGTTTGTTGTGTGTATCTTGAAATTGTGTCTTTATATATATATTGGGTATTGTGCTAACACCTAAACTTCTTTGGACTAAAGCACTAACTACTCTTGGTGTACAGAGTGAAAAGGCAGTTATGGCATAGTACAGATGTCAAAAGAAAGTTGAAAATAAACCATGTCAAGATTAATTATGATATTTAATGCTATGATTGTTCCTATAGAGTGTAATGGTGTAGAAGTATAGGGGACCTCATATTGTAAAATTATTGAAGACGTACAGCATAAAATGTGTAAACGGTTTCTAAAAACAGCACACAATGCTGCGGTTTAGGGAGAATGTGGCAGAACCCCTCTCCAACTGCACACCACACGGCCTATAAGGTAATGGTGCAGGCTACTGTATTTGGATGAACGCACGCTGCCTCGCCAATGCCGTACCACATGAGCTCCTCATATTAAAAATATTCTGTTTAGACTTATTCATATTTAGAATATTCTGATTTGAATATGTGCGGTTAGCAAAAGATGTGAAGATCATTTGGCAACCTACAACAATCAGGGTGTAGTTTTATACGCATGCATTGCTTGTATGTGAGCATTACTCAGCCATAGGGGCGGTGGAGTAGCCTAGTGGTTAAAGCGGTCGCTCGTCACACCAGGGATCGGGTTCGATTCCCAACATGGGTACAATGTGTGAAGCCCATTTCTGGTGTCCCCCGCCTTGATATTGCTGGAATATTGCTAAAATCGGCGTAAAACCATACTCACTCACTCACTAGTCAGCCATAACAATTATGTATGTGTCTTAAACAATTATATATATAAAAGTCTATAACACACTGGAACATTTTTAATCGGATCGATGATCATGATGTAGATCTCTGGATTGCCTGGTCCAGACTCGATTATATACAGACCGCCGCCATATAGCTGGAATACAGCCGAGTGCAGCCTTAAACAACAAACCAACCAACATCTTTTATCGAAATTCTTTCATCTGAAAACTTCGACAGACAGAGAAGACAACTTTGATGTTGTATAACTCATGTCTATATTTATATTAAAGAGCTAAGGGAATTGTAACAGATTGCTTCATTGGCTTGCGTGTTTCATGCAATCAAAGATAGTCTGTATTACACTGTCTGTTTATTGTGATTTTAATACCAACAGGTTTCAAAACTGAATGTACCCCATTCCCCACCCCTCTCCGACCCCAGATATAGCTACAGTGTTTTTACGTAATAGGAAATGGACATATTATGAAATATTAAAAACTTTTTTTACTAAACATGTCTTTAACAAACATGAACCCCATCTGGGAGTACTGTGCATCACCGTGATCAGCCCAATGCAAAATGGAAGAACAGATATGGATGTTATATTGAAATGATATATGCCAAGTGAATACAAATAATAAATAGGCCATATTCTTCTATTATTATTCCATTTTTGAAAGCACATACATTGTTAAAAAAAATATTGTTGAATGAATCATTTATGTGTTTCAAATGTATTAGAAATAATTATTAGTAATTATATAATGTGGTAACAACCGTTTTCAAGTTACTATTACTGGGCGTTCAGTTTATTTCCAACACACAAAACAGGAGAAATGGGGGCCAAATCATCGAATTACACGTCATCATATTTGCTAAAATATAGATGCTAGCTATATTCAATCAATGTGGTGGTTCAGATCCATGTTTTATGTGTACGATTTAGTGGCAATAGCGAGCTGACACGAAACATCAAAGCACATGTCGGTGATGAAAATAGGGTGTGTGTCATTGTTTACGTACAGCCAATGTAACGACGTTTTTCGTGTCTCGAAACTGCTTAAATAACGTGTTCACACACTGAAAGTAACGATGGCCGTTGTTCTGGTGACGTATATTTTCGATGAAAATGCTATGAAAAATTTCTAACCACCCGTTCTCGGATTTCCCTATAGTAAATGTATGGCGCGTCTCCCTGCAGCGAAGGCTGCCATTCGGCAGTGGTTGCCTGGGTCAGTGTCGGAGCGTTAGCGCAAGCGCAACAGACCCAGGGAACCAGGCTGCAGAGAGGGTTCGGGTGATCCTAGCACAGTCAGGCTGGTAAGGCTCATCATCAGCTCAGGGACCTCGCCCCTTCTACACGCAACCCAGACAGCAAATGGGACCTCCCAGGAAACACTGCCTCGTCGAACCCACCAAGAATACGGAGAAAATGAAGGTTCCCCAACACTGCAGCGTTCTGCATAACCCAGAGTGTCAGAAGAGCTGTGATTTCAGTGGAGAACGGGCACAATCCTGATCTGCGCCAAGAGACCAGGAGGCACCAAACCATGGGCACCAAGAACAATGGGGAGCCTGACGACAGTGTACTTGGGATGCAAGCGAGACATTTCAAAGGCAAGATCCGCATATTTATCATGCAGTACATGTTCAGGGTCAATGATATAAATAAATTCATTACCTTTATCAAAAAGATGGATCTCAGAGTCAAAGCCACAGGCATGGCAGAGATGATAGTAAAAGCAGCGAGCCATGCCATCATGTCGTTTAAGATAAGCTGTTTGCGCCAAGGAAGGGCATCCACTGACAAGGTGTTGGACAGTCTCTGTAAATTCATAGCACAATCGACATTTCATATTGATATTTTATTTAAGAATCACAGCTTGGCGATTACGAGTGGGAAGTGACTGGTCCTGAGCAGCAAAAAGAAAGCCCTCAGTTTCAAATTTAAGACCAGCCGACTTCATCCAGGCGAAGGAGTAGGTGGATTGCTATTCTGTTCCACATACGGCATATACACACGATGCAATGGCTTCTCAGAAAGATTCTCCGCAAATGACCAACTCTGGGCAGACTTGGTGAAGGACTTCACCTGGTTTACTCCCATCGCTGTACCGTCCAGCAGTACATGGCTATCAACAAAATCAACCTCAGATTTCATATTCTGTCCAACAACATATATACGCACGCTTAAAACAGCTGTGGAATTCCTTGCTTTCATCATGAGACTTGACATGCATCACTAGAGGATCATTCGATAAATAAATATGTTCAAAAGTACACAAAATAATTCTGTCATGAACAGCCTCCACATTAATCAAACCCCGACCTCCAGAATTAATTGGCATATATAAACGACAGAGAGAGGAACGAGGGTGGTGGGCTATCAGACATGATCAGACATGATCCTTCTGGTCAGACGGTCAAGACTCTGGATGTCTTGTTTTGTCCAATCAACTACTCCAAAGGAATAGGAGAGGACTGGCACAGCAAAAGTATTGGTGGCTTTGACCTTGTTTCGAGCATTTAGCTCTGAGCTCCAGATTTTCGTTAAGCAAGCTTTATACTCGGCCCGAAGTTTGTCTTGAATCTGGGCATTCTGGAGCTTGTCTCGAACTTGCATTCCAAGATAGGCGTAGGCCTGATCTGTCACAAGATGCTCAATAACTCCTCCACCTGTAACTTGTCCGATCCATCATTGACTACCTGGCCACGTTTCATATGAAGAGTATTACATTTGTCGAGTCCAAATGTCATGCCAATATCATTAGAAAAGGACTCGACAAGGAAAACCTGTTCTTTCAAAATGGTATTATTATTAATATTATTATTCTAAAATGAAGAATGAGGAAGCCTCTTCAAGGGAAAAAGTTCTGATACGTTTCACGAATAATCGCAAATGATAAGCAAAATATCTGAATAATCACGCAAGGTGAGATACTTGAGCTGAGGTGAGGTCATTTGCGTTTCTCAGATGCGGTCAACATTTACTTATTCTTTCTGAGATTTCAGGTCCAGCATCATCTTTTCGATAGAGACAACTTCACTAATGGATTTTTTAGGAACGCACCTTTGTCTTGAACAGTTCAAGGACTTGATGATCCTACTTGTGGGTAGGTGAACAATCATTATCTTACACATAAATACCATTTTCTAATTGGCTGAGTGTTCTTCTATTATTTTCAATGTACCCCGCTTACAAGCGAGTAATATTTTCTATGGTACTAGCTGGGATTGTCGAACTGTGGGAATTCATTTGGTTCTTCGTGTTAGTATTTATTTATCTTAAATAACTGTGTCACGTATGATGTTCAAAAATTACTGATGTTTTTCGAATGCAAATCGATGGAAGGGAGATATATGTAAATATGTTTTTCTTGTCTGTCATCGGTATTGGCTAATTAGCTATAGCTAACCCTGGTACTCCTTGTTATGATCCGATACCCCCGCTTCAAACAGTTTAAAATTAACATTGTGGTGTTCGGTAAGATAAATACGTTGTTCACTGGTCCCTCGGGGCCCATGGGTTGATGTACTAGTACCCTCTATGTTTGTTTCTGTTCCCCGAGCCCGAATGTGTGACGTGGAGACACTCACCCCATGGCGTTGACCGCGCCTCGATTTCTGTATTTCATCTATATCATATCTATATATTGTACACCCATATATGGTATATATTATACCGTGTGTATATATTGTACACGCATATGTGGTATATATTATATCTTACGTATATATTGTACACACATATAAGGTATTTATTATACCATGCGTACATATTGTACACATATATGTGGTATATATTATATCTTACGTATATATTGTACACACATATATTGGCCCTTCACTACAGATTACTGCATCAGGTGTCTTTCCAGGTATACTGGTCCTTCACTATGTGAACCTGTTGACCCCAGCACAGAATCCAAGGTCGTCAAGGGTTCTGGATACAGTCTTGACTGTCTGTTTGGTGGCGCCTTGCATCTATATGTTTCCATTTGAGATGATGAAACACCATGCTCTGGTTCTCTGGGCTTTCGTTACCTGTGCAACCAGAGGTAAGTAAAACAGTCAAACAGCGTTTTGATTATGATTGGCTAACAATTCAGCTGAAAGCAAAGTCAGTTTAGAGATTCTCTCGTATCACTGGCATCAATTTGTAACGAAACCATCGACCCGTGAAAACATCACAAATCTGTGATCCATCCATATGGTAGAAGACAAAACAGGAATTGCTCTGGTAGGCCAGTCAAATTAGCCATTTTTTTGGCCAAAGTCGGAAAAAATGATGAAGAAACGAAAACTTGGCATATATATTCTATGGACCTTCCTGCATAACATACTAGAATCCCACTTGAGCTAAATCCACAGTTCACGTGCAAACATGCATTCCCTACGATAATGTTTCTTCTAAGAAAATCCTGTTTTAAAAACAGAAATGCTCATAAATGTTTTATCTATGAATATAATTTCATCCAATTTGACAGATATAATGGATTATAGTGCACGTATATAAAAATACTTTAGAAACAAAATAATTATTTGCCTCACGTGCACATTCCGTTTTGTTCTAAAAATAGATTTCTAGGAAATTGTAACCCTGAAAAATTTGGCCTGAAACGTTTTGATATGAAGTTGAATTGGTCTTATACAGACATGAATAAATTGCCCTACGATTTATCTATCCAATGGTACCAAATAGTTGGAAGACATATATTTCATTTAAACATTTAAATTGAAATTGGCAAAACGCGAAATTTCATTGATTTGCATACCAGCTAGAAAAGTGTTGCCCCCAACCCCCATCCCCTCGCTTTGTAATAACCAGTGTGCGTGAGTCTTATCACAAAAATATTCATCAAAGTTACTGATAAGTAAACATTTAAATACTTTCATGGCAAATTGAACATAATCTGACAGTTTTAATCTAGTAACTATACGTATAATTATAATTTCATTTCCATTGAAAATAGCAACAATTATAAAAGCACTGATACATAACCAACAATTATTTCACAAAAAACACTCGAATGAGGCGGTAAACTACCACTTGCTCTTTTCTTCCATAATTGCTCATCAACTATCATTTTCCACTAAAGGGGTCCTAAGATGCACAGCATTGATCAGGTGTTCGACTTTTTGTCAACGAATAGTTTAACACGAACAGTTAGCAATTAAGTTGAACAGCTTCCATTCTGTGTAGCTTACTTGGTTGGTAAGGCATACATATCTTGCTACAAACCGTTCTCTTCCTAGTGATTTGAGAAGGCCTCTGGTATTACCATTCACTGAAGTAACAGTTTTATAAAGTTTCCAATTTGATTTGAAGGTTTGTGAGAAATCGATTGCATGTGCTTCTCACAATATTTCTATCCTTGCTTCCATCTTTTCTCTTCAATATATTTTGAGAGGGTCTCTAGCAATGACATACTGAAGCATATCCACATTTCAACCTGCTAGTTCCACGGACAAGTTATATTTCACGATGGATCCAACAGAGTGTTGTATCATATGCAGCAAAGGTTTATCTCCTGGTGATATTGTCACCGTCACAAGAGGTCTAACTACCTTACTGCAAAGTAGTATAAGGCGCAGGGATGGAATTGCTGAAACATTATCTGGAATATCTTCAGTTTCAGTTCATGTAAACTGCCGGAAAGATTACACTCGTGAATCTTCTATTTTAGCAGCTGTGAATCCCTCACCTTGAAAGACGGTTTCCTAAGATCATCACTGTCAACTTTCAATTTCAAAATGAATTGCTTGTTCTGTGGAGAAAATTGTGATATAGTTTCAGAGACTTAAAAACCTAAAGACAAGAGGGATATTTTTGTTCGAACGATTAGTTCCAAAGATTCCATTCTTGCTCTTCATAATCACATGATGAATGTGCCTAATACTCTCAGTGTTTTGGTCGAAAGGATTACAAACAATGATAAGAAAGGTGATGTTGCTACAAAGCAAAGGAAGGCATCTGTTATTTGTCACCAAATACTCCCCGCAACAAGAGAAAGATCATTTTTTTCTATGATACAACTTGGTTTAGCTGTGTATATTCACCGACAAACTGGATCTAAGCACCTTCTGGATGTTATGTCAGCCTTTGGAGAGTGTTCATCATATAATGGGGCTATTTCCTATGAACATTCTGCAATGGCTGCAGATCATGAGATTGGTGAAAATGCCTTCATGCATTTTGTCTTTGACAATGCAGATTTTAATGTTTGCACACTTGATGGATATGGCACATTTCTCATGCTGGCGATAAAGACATCCAGTAGTCTCACTCGTGGACAAGGACTGACAGACAGTGTGTTGGCGCAATGGATCTTGGCAATTCCTGGTTGTACTGAAATGATTCAGTACTTCGAGGAATTGTGTGGGACCAGATTTTGTAGTATTTACCAGCACGTAGAACTAAGGACGTCTAGAATTGAGAGGGACACCAGTGACGTTAACAAGCTGATAGAATGGCTTTCAACTCATTCTCCATTTGAACAAGGACAGGAACTGGTCTCCTTGGGTAGTGGAATTGTTGGGAAAGAAGACATTACTTGCGATTCTGCAGTTGCAATTGGAGATTCTGCTATGAAGAATATAGTTGCCAAAAGCTTTGGAGATCTGCATATTCCAAGAATAAACACTGTACTCTCCCTATCTGTCATGAACAACTCAATCAAAATACAGAATGAGGTTATACCTGTCAATACCATGCAGCCTTCTCATCGCATCCTGTGCCTCATGAAAACAGATGATGACTTTTTATCCTGTTTGAAATATGAGGTTTCTCAATGCCCTCTATCAATATTCAATGGGTAAGCAATGAGAAAAACAAAAAAAATCTTTCATGTACTGATGTTGATCTTCTGGTGTTCCTCACACATTTGTGTGCTTCAGAAATATTGTACTTCCTTAAAACTGGGAGCGGAAAGACTGCTGATCGTCTATATTACATTTCGTTGTTATGGCAAGCATTGCCAGAGAGCTTCATTTCTGGGTTGCTCTTTCCCCGTGCTATGACTGGTTGTGACACTACATCAGCCTTGTACAGACAGGGAAAGAAAAAGGCTGTCATGTTGTTCGCAAAACGACAGGACTTGCAACCACTTGTCAAAGCGTTCCATAATCAATTATCCACAAAGGATATGGTTGCGTTTGCAGGAGAGCAGTTCTTACTGGCATTGTATGGAGCACCTAAGTCTGTTAAATCCCTGAATGAGCACAGATAAGTATCATTGTTTCACAAGAGCTGTTGCCAAGTGTCCCATTCACACACAAATGCAGTTATCTGCCTTGCCACCTACATCGGCAGCGGCGAGAGAACATCGTCTGAGGGTTTATCTGCAAGTGCAGCAATGGCTTGGAAGAAGTCTTCCACCAAATGAATGGGAATGGCAAACTGTTTGTGGCCAGCTCAAGCCAGTAACAACCCGTGATCCCCCAGCACCAGAGACATTGATCAACAGGATCAAATGCAATAGACCGATCCAGTCCCGGCCGATAAGCCCCGCCCACTTCGTTTTTGACGTTAGGGGGGACAACCACTGCCTAATCAAAATGGCGTCACCGCCGGCGAAACGTGCGTAATTGGGAACGTTGTTGATGAATTCTGCTTGTGGTACTTTGGTATCAGTCGTTTGTGAATGATATTTAAAGTGGAAAGTTATTCTATCTTTTTAAACATATTTTAGTTGACAGATTGCAATTGGCGAGTGAAAATGAGTTACATTCCCGATGAAAAATCGTCTCGGGCAGCTGCTCAGAATGGGAAGCGTATTTTCTTTCGAACCAAACAACCTATCTGGCAATCCACGTCCGTCTAAGACATTAGCAGGGGAAGGGGAGATTTGTATAGCATAGTGGGGGTTACTGAATTATGTTGTTTGTTTTTGTTTTGTTTATTTTTTGTAATATTATATAAACCGTGAACACAGCCACATGTTCAAGTTGCAGATCGTTTTGGTACAGTATCTATAAATAGATTGTCAAAACTGCGCGTGGCGCCTTTAATTATTCATTCGTTGTTCAAGTTTAGTTAAATCAATCTGGACACACCCTGAAGCAAATATTCAGCAGCTACTTTGCAGCAATTCTCAGTAAAATTCTATCTTCCAAATCTGTGCACCATCCTAAAATGACACTGAATATAAGGAAATCGATTTTTTAACCATCCTTTCCAATATATTTTTCTATGTCAGTGCACTTTGTTGTGGAATCCTTATTTATAAACTTACACAATACTGGACTTCATGAACTGCCAGCTTTTATGTACAGGAATGTCACAGCACCAGAACACAAAGAAGATCCAGGATACATTCTGCACCTGTACACTGACCCATCTTCCAGAAATAGGAAACCTGTGATGCAAAATCTTTGAACTGAGGATTCACAGTTATCCAAACAATTCACTTGGATTGAAATAGAATGTTACACAAAATACAAATATACTGCTTTTTCTTCAGAGATATTCAACTTGTAACTACTAATGTAAATAAGGTGCAAAGAACATATTCTAAGTTCAAAGCTTTTTGTCAATAAAATTACATATTGACATTATTGCTTCTTAAACAATGATAATCTTTGTTTCATTAGATCTGAGACCATATCCCTAAGGGACATAACACTAATTGTGATTTATTTCCTTTTCTGAGGTACTTACCAGTGTCATCAAAAATATATCAAAGTTGCTTCAAAATTTGGTAAAAGTCATAACAAATCGTATTATATATCGCGCAGGTTTTATTTTCACGCAAAATATTTTAACGCGAAAATTTATACACAGCGAATAAACCTTTCATTCATTCACTCTACCCACGCCTCTGAGTTACCATAACACATCAAGTCTGAAGACAGAAATATACGGGAATCTTAACATGACGACTGATAGTAGCATAAAGATGTTTAGAGGTCGACTGTCCTCACAGACCATTCGAAATCGGTTGCGGGCTGCCAATCTCCATTCTCGACGTCCATATCGTGGGCCAATATTGACGCCGTTTCATCAACGTCAACGTCTGCTGTGGGCCCAACGTCACCTCCGATGGACCCAGAGAGACTGGAATCGAGTCGTCTTTAGCGATGAATCCAGGTTTACCCTCAGATTCGCGGACGGCAGGCATAGAGTGTGGAGACGACGTCGTGAACGGTATGCCCAATGTTGTGTGGTGTGGGGTACTTTCTGTGGGAACAACCGTTCCCGACTTCTGGTCATCCGTAGAAACCTCACAGCTGCTGCTTGCGGCGACCAGGTGCTCACCCCTGAACTCGTTCCTTTCATGGCGGCACATGGCCCATGTCTACAGTTCCAGCATGATAATACTTGGCCGCATACCGCGATGTTGACACGAAATTTCCTTCAAAACGCTGGAATCAACGTCATGGACTGGCCATCGAGGTCCCCCGACCTTAATCCAATAGAGCACGTTTGGGATGCACTTGGGAGAAGGCTTCGTGGTCTTAGGAACCAACCTCAGAATTTGCAGGAACTTGGCACTGCCTTGCAAGCACAATGGCGCAGAATCCCCAACCACGTGTTCACAAGCATCAAGCAGTCAATGAAGAGACGGTGTTTGGCAGTATTGAATGTGCGGGGCGGCCATACACGATATTGAACTGAGAAATTTCGAATTTTTATTCTTGTGACTTGACATTCTGTATACCCAAGTAGCCTAATGGAACTGATTATGGCACTGTCAGTGTATCGAGTACATCACACAGATCTCAGCAATGTAATAATAACAATTTAACCATCTTACCATCTCCTGTTCTTTTATAGTGCCCTGTAGAAATAACTGAAGTTTCTTTTTTGACTCAGTATAGTATATTAGTACCATCACGATATCTCGCTTCCTAAGTACTTAATACTTCCGTGAGTAAACGTATTACTGCATAATACAGGTTAAGCCACTCTGGTTGTTTTCATTTCTATTATCTGCGGCCAAAGAGATAGCTGGAAGTTCCGGCAATTACTGATTGCGCGAATAATTGACCGCGGGATGTAGTCTAAACTGTCAATTCCTCGAAATTTGCACCAAGTCTTGAATTGCTATTTGTTGTCATCTATTGGTAATGATTTTGCACATGTGCGAAAGTGTGGAAATTTGATGGTGCCGACATTTTACTGATCGTGAGGCCTAACGCACTCCTTTTTACCTCTCAAATCCTTTGTCTTGACCGTAATGGTACACATCAATCGCAGCATTATGTAATAGATATAGCGAGTGTGAATGGCATAATTCGAAGCATATGGCTTCTAAGGCATCGTTTGACCCCGGAAATAATTTTGACAAATCCACACAGCGCGCCCGGCCTGCTGATTGCACAAATTGACGCATGTGCTAGTTTTGATTGACAGACTGGATCGTCTTCCAGCGACGCTGATGAGAGTGAAGTTGAAGATGAGCCACAGACCTCTACTTCCTCCAGACTGACAAGGAAAAGAAAATGTTCTTTTAATTGATCTTTAATCATACGTGTTTGAAGATGCCCTGTTACATAATCTGTTAATAGTGTTTGATAGTCTTGGTATTCTGCAGAATATCAGTTAGTTTTTAGGTACTGTCAGGTTGAGTTGTGATAATTTATTGAAATTGTGAGTATCCAAGGGCGATAATTCTTTTTAAAGCATGGAAATGGCTATTGAAATGTATTTTTATGAAATTATAAATTTTCACTTGCTTGATTTTTGGGTGTAACAAATCAAATTATTGCAATTGTTGGGCCTTTTATTGAGTTTTCATTGACTTCTAAACATGCCCAAAAATTGCAAATTTTCAGTTTCAGTCAAAATGTAAACATATGATTTTATTGAGTTATATTTGGTGGTTTGTGGTGAAAAAGACATTGAACAATATACTTCAAGGTCTTTTGGACATATCTAAGCCTTATCATTATACCTATATGTCTTTGTGTCACCAAAGGGTAAAAACATATAACAATTATATTTTTAGCACAAAAAAGGCCACAACTCCGAAATGTGAAATTTCTTTCTGAAATAATGGTCAACAATCTTGAGATGTATTTACTCAGTTGTCAAACATTTATGTACTTATGTACAGAAATTTTTAAAAATTGGTCTTCTTGGTTAGCAAAAGGTTGCATTGGGTAACCATGTTTGCACGTGCACTATGGATTTAGCTCAAGTGGGATTTTAGGGGACTTTTAGTATGTTGTGTAGGAAGGTTTGTAGAACATTTCTGCCAAGTTTCATTTCTTCATCATTTTGTCCGACGTTTTTGCTAATTTGACATCATTTAGGTCATGTTATGACGCACTTTATTTAAAGAAGGCATGCCAAAGAAAACTTTCCCACTGTGCAGAGAAAACGCTGAAAAGCCCACATTCAACGTGGAAATAGCAACATAAACATAATACCTCGCTACTAAAAAAGTAAAAACGGCAACGAAAGACAATGAAACTGCAACATTCTTATATCAGGGAAGTTTGACCTCTACTGCGCATGCGCATTACGATCCGCGCTTCTTTCCAATTTCTGAGAAACCGTGAATCGCCTCGCGTAGAAAAAGTAGTAAATATGTCGAAATAATTGCTGTCAATCATTGCATACAAATGAAAAGTAAACTAAACAAGTGTGCAGACAAGTATCATGATGATAAATGCCAAAATAACACAACAGAAATACTTCAAAAAGGAAATGTTACTTTTGTCGAGACTTCCTTTTCCATGTGCGTATGTCCAAAATTGAAGTTGCAGGCTCTTCGTTTTTTTATGGAATTTTAACGATTTAAAGTTGCTGTTTTTACTGTTTCATAAGCGAGGTATTATGTTTATGTTGCTATTACCACGATTAATGTGGGCTTTTCTGCGTTTTTCTGCACAGTGGGAAAGTTTTCTGTGATAGGCCTGTAAAGGCTGGGTTTGATTTTACAGTGAATATAATCCGTGAAGCCTATTCTTGTTCACCCTGTCGTAATATTGCTGGAATATTTTTCAAAAGGCAGACTCACTCACTAACCCATATTGAGTGGGTTATGATTATGATAAGTTGTTTTCTTTATCAAGAAATCGAATTCTTGCTGTTTATAATTATGATGTTTAGATTGTATGTTTAACTATTTTTTCGATATAATATTAAGTATAACTAGAGAAAAACGTTTCTTTGAATATAGATTACCAGTTGTTAATGTTTAATCGTCCTTTTTCAGAAGGAACAATTGTTATGCTTGCCGTTGAAGCTCTTCTTCTGTTGTCACCAGTGTCTTCTTACTTGGGATGGTATAACATCTGTATCTGCCTACCGGGACTTTGGTCTTTTATACGATCAGTGGATGTTCATACCACAGAGTGTAGTCTTATACCAGCGAAGGAATCTGCATTTAATAAAGGTGGGGCGAAAACTGCAGAACCTGGATATTTTGCAGTGCATGTCAGGGATGAAAAGGTCAGGGCCACGAAAAGACACCATGACAACGAAAAAAAGAGACGGTTTGTTGTTGATAATGTTACAAAGGGAGGTAACTCAAATGGCTCTCAGATATCGACAGGAGACAACAAAGATACCCCATCTAGTTATGTCGTTACTGGCGTCTCTGGTGGTAACGTCAAAGAATCAATCACAGCTGGTTACGTTGGACGTGATATCAATTATGAAAAGACCATTCGAGATAATGTGGTGTCAGGGCCCAGTAACATCGGCAACAGTGTTCAACAGGCAACCAAGGAAGGTGTGTCTGCGAGTGGGAGTACCCCTGAAATAGACGTAGATGATCCTGGTGAAAACAAACTTGACTTATCCAAGAGAAACGTGATTACCAATAACACGGTGAAGCAGGAGGACACGACGGTGACAAACTCCTCACTGGGGAATGCACAAATGAAAAATGTGCATATCTCTGTAAACACTGATTTTTCTCGGATAGTCGAAAGATGTCGCGAGGTCACTGAGACTGATGGAGACTGTGATGCCCATGCAGGTACTGGAATGCCAGAGATCACAGAGGACAATAGAAGAGACTCGAACATGCGTGAAGCTGTTGAAATACAAACTTTGTTGAAAGATATTAAAGGCGAGGCCAGTGAAACCAGTTCTGCTGTTACAACAACCATGAAACGTATAGAGAATGATATAGATCAAGTCAGATCGACTGTTGCAGCCATCAAACAAACAAGTACAAGTACATCCAGACAAGTAGAGGATGATATGGATCACCTTAAGTCAAAGGTTACTGAGCTTACCGCAGAAGTCGAAATACTAAAGAAGGCTAATTGTGAGGCAGAGGAGGCATGTTCTTCTCTAGTCACCAATGTAGTTGCACGTACGACCAGACAAGTTGAAAATGAAATGGGTCAACTCCGTTCAAAGGTTGTTGACCTCACCAGAGTGATTGATACACTACGGAAGACAACCTGTGAGGTCCGTGAGGCTACTGTTACTGTAGCAACCACCAAACAAGAAGTGGCAAGTCTATCCAGACAAGGTGAGGACCAAATGGACACATTCTATTCAAAAGCTGCTGAACTCACCACAGCGATCAATGAACTAAAGAGACTCAGGTGCAATTGCGGGCACGCACACTGGCATTGTCACTGATACAGAGGCTAAGGAGAATTTTAAGAAAATTGGTCGGACCCCTACAATCCTTTTCTGCTGTTACACCATAGTTCTTGAGACAACACGTGGCGCAATGTCAACAAAGAATATAAGTATTTATTGCTCAACTTACAACTTGTAGGACAACTTGAACACAACTTCCAGCAGGGGACATTGTGATGCTGACACTTGGGCAGTAGATGGGCTGGACTGACTGGTTACTTCATCCCTTCAAGTCCTTCTCTGTATTGTCCTTCTTCTGGTTTGTCCGCGCTCTTCTCGCTCTCTGCCAGACCTCCCCTGTTTTCCTGTCCTGTATGCAACTAAGCAACTAACAATCTCCATCGGTCTACATTTCTCACGGACAAAATCTGCTTGGTTTGCCATATTTTGACAAGCTGGACATATACTCGACAAGGGTGTACAACAATAGTGCTACACTGTGGGAGCTGGGGATCGCCTTGTTCAACTGCCTGGCATTTGTTTGTCAGTTAGTGACTTTCGGTACTTACGATGAGGACATTATATCAGAACTGTTGAGTTTATTGTGTTGATTTATGGCCAAGGAATGCTGTATTTCAAGTTACAATCTGCAAGTAAGTGAAGTTTTAGCTCAATACACCAATAACATACGCAGCGGTTAATTTCACTACGAGGGTGTCAATTTCTATCGACCATTTCTGAGCATGTCATGAACCTGTCACCTTCGCGTAAAACGTCTTCGTTGGGCGTGGTACGTGAAGCACTGGCAACGTTGCATTTCGATACAACAATATTTCAAAATATTTCGACCGCGTCGTTGTTTTTTAGAAAGCATATTCATCGTATCAGGTGTGTACTTTCTTTTGTACGTCAGCTTACATTAAGAGTTAGTGAGTGAGTGAGGAGACGACCCCAACGCCCCGCATACATTTAGAATGTTTTACAATTGTCATTAATTGACTAGGGCTGGGTACTCCAGAGAATTTTCTTACTGCGATATATTGCGATACGAAAGCATATATTGCGATATGTATTGCAATGTATTGCAAGAAGTTACTTATAATCGAGTTAATGCCTGATTTATAAAGCAAAAACACAACAAATACATTATGCTTGATTAAGGTTTAATGAAAAAAACTAATCATGCCAAAAGAAAATGTAAATAATATTTGGCACAAATGAAACAAGGAAAATAAAAAAATTATAAAGCGAAAATATCCGCAGATTTCCGAGTGTTACGAAGTTTTCCGGTTTTTTATCAGCGTATAGTAATACTTATCATGTTCGTGTCTGAACCAGTAAATACCGATAAACCGGTTATATTACGCAGCCATATATAGTGACAGTATGTTGTACACATGGGTATTGAGACTGAAATCCGCAATTTTTTTTTTTAAATGAGGCACCTGGGTGACCTAAGTAAACACCTGTGTCCCCTCATTGTGATGACCCGTTGCTATGCACATGGTCTATTTTGGGATTTCCAAGTGTTAGGGAGATTTGGTTGACCTCATTATTCATAGACTATTCTAGAAGCATAACCTCATTTCAGGAGACCATCATCACACAGAAAAAAAGTTATGACACAGGTGGATTCTCTCCTGACATTATCAGACCAGTGAAGATCCGGGGTAGAATAGGTCTTCAGCAACCCATTCTTGTCATAAAAGGCGACTGCTTGTCGTAAAAGGTGACTAACTGGATCGGGTGGTCAGGCTCGCTGACTTGGTTGACACATGTCATCGGTTCCCAATTGCGCAGATCGATGCTCATGCTGTTGATCACTGGATTGTCTGGTCCAGACTCGATTATTTACAGACCGCCGCCATATAGCTGGAATATTGCTGAGTGCGGCGTAAAACTCAACTCACTCACACTCACTCACCCTGACATCATCATAAGTCAGTGTGCGAAATAGCCACTGTGGCTAGTAAATATCCAGTCGGGCCAGTAATTTTTCACATTCACTGGCCCAACTAGCTAGTGAATTTTCATGGGGTCATTTTGTAAAGATATCACTCTCTCCGACTTGTTAAGTTATAATACACTTATAAATAATGCAACATTATGGACTGATAAAAACGTTCATCATATTAGCAGCTTAATGATGAAACTCGTGTCATGCCGACAATATCTATTCTCATCTATTTTTGTAATCATTTTCCTAGTTTCTACATTCCAATTTCGAGCTAGTGAATTATTTTGTGGGCTAGTAACTTTGGGGCATAGCTAACTAATGTGTAGATTGTACAACTGACCTTGAGTGAGTGAGTAAGTTAAGTTTTATTGTCACATAGGAAATATACTGAACATCATTGAAAATGCACCACTTACAAAAGTTCAGATTACTAAAAGCACGTGTAAGGAATTGGTATTTGTTTAGTGGATAATAACAGATGGTCGACTGACAGAAACAACAACACAGAAAAGACGCTCATTCAATTAATTGTTCCACAGTCAGAAAGGATCAAACACACGTGGGGTCAAATCGAAAAGTCATTATCGCGTGTGACCGCCATTTCCATTGACACATAGAGTTCAACGTCCCCTCATTGAGTCAGTAAGCGTCCGAATAGAGTTCTTGAGGATGGATTCCACTTCTGCAGTAGTGCAGCCTCAAGTTCCCGGATGTTTCGCATCTGTTGTCGCCGCGAAAGACTTTGGCCAATTTCGTCCAACGAGTGCTCAATGGGGGATACACCTGGCGACTGTGCTGGCCAGTGAATAACCTGGATGTGTTGCTGGGCCACATGCTGCATGGAAAGTCCGGTTGAAAAGTATGGACATATTGGTGCTGATTGAAGAATGATACGACGTGATTCTGAAGAATCTGGTCACGGTAGCAAAGGGCATTAACTCTCCCTTGACAGACATGAAGGGCAGTTCTGTGATTGTAACTTATTGCAACCCAGACCATGACACTCTCACCACCCTACGGTCTGTCGGAACCACACACTGAAAAGCGTAACCTTCACCACGTCTACGCTAAACACGTAATCGGCCGTCAGCAATACGTAGGTGAAGACGTGACTCGTCAGTGACTACCGCACCATGCCATTGTTGTAAACTTTACTGAACATGCCTGTTAGCCCATTGCATACGTTCAACGTAAGGACGTCGAGCATGGAGCCCTGTGGCGTGTAGACAGCACGTCGACCTTGAACCACCGTCCTGGCAATCGGCAGTGTTTGATCACGGATATGGTCAAGGTCAATATGGCGAACCTGACGGGAGGTCGTGACACGTTGTTACCAAGGTTGTTGAAGGTCACGGGTGCTGCCTGTCTGCTGATGTCGTCTATGAAGCCCAAAGATGGTGGAGTGGCCAAGTCCAAGTTGTCAAGCAATATCCCTGCGTCTGGTGCCAACCTGAATCATGCCTAGTGCACGTTCTCTTCCGTGAGGTGTTAACCTCGGCATCTCTGTCCTCGTTTCACAATCGTTAGTGAAGCAATGAGAATCGGTTCTCATACACCTGCTTTTAATGTCACAGTCAGCATGATTTCAGAATGAAATTTGCGCTTTTTTCATGGAGTGGCTGCAGGTTGATGCGTTTTGGAATAAAGTATCATACTGTGAACAGGAATTTGTTTCTAAGGCATTTTGTCAACTGGACATGTCCTTCGACTTCATGTAAGTCATATCCATTGATGATGGTCATGCTGAAATCCATCTTGATGAAAATATGGACAATTTTAGGCTGGTGCGTTTTCAATGATGTTCAGTATATTACAGCTGTATCGTGACGAAACCCAGTTATATATTCATGATGCATAAAGTTGGGTTATCTAACCTGCCGACAGTGGAAACAGCTAGACTGTTTAGGTACCTTACACGTGTGACCTGTATGATCTGGTTACTACTGATTGCCATACCCTGTATTGTCTATACAACTCACCTTGCGTGAGTGAGTGAGTTCAGTATAGTCACATCTTTCAGCCATATCGTGACGATAAGAAGTGTTTGTTTAGTTTTAAGTTTTCATTTTGTTTTTAGTTTTGATGTTTTGGGGCTTTTTTGCTTATGTTATTGTTTGTTTGTTATTTTGATTGGTGGTTGGTTTTGGGTTCTTTTGTCGTTGTCGGTTGTTGTTGTTTTTTGTCTATGTTGGTGGCGGCGGGGAGGGATGTGCTGTTCATCCCACACATTACGTTTCAGCCCTTATAACTAGCACAGTTCACACGTTATGTAGTGACTTTGGCTTTGTGTGCCAGCTGTTTAGATGATAGACCTCACCGAGAATAACCTCAAGGTTGTTGATGCTGCGGTAGGCTCTACTTAGACACTTACTAGGTCATGATTTTTCTTTGTGCTATGTGATGATGTCATTAGAACCACTACTTCCGGTCTCGAGGCGGTGGGGTAGCCTCGTGGTTGAAGCGTTCGCTCGTCACGCCGAAGTCCCGGGTTCGATTCCCTATATAGGTTGAATAACTATGACCCGGGCCACGAGAAAGGACAGTCTGTATACTATTACAGCCATACAGCATTACGTACTATCTCGACAAAAGAGGCAGTATTTCGGCCATTCCGTGACAACTACATTTAACCGACCAGTGGGACTTTACAGACAGGAAGAGTGAGTGAGTATGGTTTTACGCCGCTTTTAGCAATATTCCAGCAATATAACGTGAGTGAGTGAGTATGGTTTTACGCCGCTTTTAGCAATATTCCAGCAGTATGACAGAGGGGGACACCAGAAGTGGAAGTGGGGAATTGAACCCGGGTCTTCAACTACAGAGAGGAAGAATGGGCGAAAATCACATTAACTCAGTTTTACAAAGTATTACTGTCGGGCGCGTCATGGGCAAACTCATTGCGTGTTTAAATCCACTACTAGGCTACCTACCGCCCCTACCGATGAAGAAGCCTATGAACTGAACTGTTCTCTTTATCACTGACCGATATTCTGTCGCAGTATCTCTGCGCAGCTTGTAGACACAATACACAGATTGCGTGTCATTTCTTAATCAATGCGACTTTCCAAAATACGTATATACACTTGGGAGATAAACGTACTGTGTTTGGAAATTAGATGAATTGATAGTCTCTCCATTTCATTTGAAGCCGAAACAGTGCTTGCCTAACGCAATGATTTGTGTACATGCGACTAAATTGTGATTCCTTGGAAATTGTTTTCATCACTTGTGACTCGATTGTGGCCAAGCTATTTTGAAAGTGTACGAACATAGATCACCAGCAGTGACAGCCTTGCGGGGAAGCTGGCAGAGAGCAGAATTCTGGTGGTTCAATTTTTGACATTTATTTTTTAACGATGCAACGGGACATGATGGAGTATGAGTGGCATAAATTTGGTGTTTCGCCTGACAGTTATCTTGCGAATTATCCATTCTAAACAGAAACAAATATGCTATTTACAAGGTAGGCAAATGTTTACTAACGTTTTGCAGCAAGTTTTGTATAGATAGGGATGTTTTTTTACAAGGCTTTCTGATTTAGATATTGTATGTGTATGTTTGAGGTAATATACTTCCCATCAAAAGTTTAGACTCACTAGTATAAATATAGCCACTTACTTCAGGCAACTGTTCTAAACTACATTTTGCAAAATAGTCCATACTGTTTAAAGGTACTGTTTACACATGAACTGATGTATTGTAAAACAAATTCGTAACGTTAAAAAGATTATTGTCATGAGTTCAATAAATGATAAAAATCAGTGAACATTGGCGAATCCTAAACAAAACTTTACACCAAAACGCAGCTGTTCACATGCACGATATTTGCACATGCTTTTCAGCAATTTGATGCATGATCCTCGTGCAGTTCATCTGCATAAGGTTTGCAGTTGGTTCCTCCAAGTTAGTGGAGAAATCTCTTCGATGTAACTATATATCTATACATAACATATAGTGAGTGTTTTAAGTGAGTGTGAACTTTTGATGGGAAATATATGATAGTGAGGTTCCCTAATATTTGTGGAGGAAAAATCGTATACAGTGTAATTGTATTTTTCGAGTTTTAATAAATGTTTTATAAGCATTTCCATCACGTCTGTTGTGTTTATATTAGCCATGCTGGTGGTCAAGCTGAAGTAGTGCGGCAGTGTTGTATACGTGCGCAGTGAAGCGGTCATAAAATCAAACGCAATTTTCAATCCAAAATGATAGTGTCTAATTTTATTGATTGTCCAATCAAAATCGAGTATTTCACGTAGCCATGGTGTAATTAAACTTATACAGATGTGAAGGAGTAAATCTGGGGA